TAGTACGCGGAGTAGCTGGGGAGCTGGAAGCTGAGAACTGGCGACTTGGTAGTACAACTTTAGTACATTATGCCCCATATTGCGGACGTGCGACAACCGCTGGTGTTGTTGGCTAGTTGTGGCTGCGCACACCTGTGTGCACAATACCTCGTACATCCGTTGTGCACATCACTCTCTTACACCTTCTCTCCCACCCCTCTGTTGTCGGAAGCTGATATCACTTCCTGACAAGGCCGTGTTGTAGAAGCTATTGAGACTCTGACTGCTTTGTGCTTTTTGAAACTTAAGATTCGTAAAGATTCATATGTGGGGTTATCCGGTCCTTTAATTTGCAGGCAGCTGCGTGCTCCACTGCAGCCTTGCCGAGCCTTGGGGTTTGGTGCGCAGCGCCCACGGTCCAATTTACCCAGGAGGTGTGGCAGATACGAGAATGGCGTTGATTTTGTTGCTACGTCAGCTGCGACAAAAAGTCCACTTCGCTGTCGAACACGGCGCAGCGCAGCCGGCCAGAGCAGCTATCGCCCGAACACCGGACCGCAAGAGGAGCGATGGTGAGCGTGTCGCGAGATTGCTCATGCTCGAGGATGTGGACGACGGCCAAGAACTGCTACATGTGGGTTTGCGCTCGCGCAAGAGTGGAAGAAGTGCAACGCCAAAATCCTCGAAAGGTCTGGGGAGCAGGTTCGCTGCGCGTGGTGATTGGCGTGTCTTATATATTAGAGGCAAGCAGTTGATTTTGCAGCCAAGTCTCGATGCGACCACTCTTTCCTGAGGCGCGGAATTTTGCGTTGCTGGCATAATCAGTGTCCACAATTTTTCGATGCACCGTTTACACCGTTTACACCGTCTACACCGTTTACACCGTCTACACCGTTTACACCGTTTACACCGTCTACACCGTTTACACCGTTTACACAATCTACACCGTCTACACCGTCTGCACCGTTTACACCGTCTACCCGGTTTACACCATCTACCCCGTTTACATCGCCTACACCGTTTACACCGTTTACATCGCCTACACCGTTTACACCGCTTACACCGTCTACACCGTCTACACTGTCTGAACCGTTAACACCGTCTACACCGTTTACACCGTCTACACCATTTACACCTTCTACACCGTCTGCACCGTTTACACCGGACCGTCTACTGTACACCGTTTACAATGTTTGCACTGTTTACACCGTTGAAACTGTTACCGGCGTATCCGGTGTAGACAGCGTGGTCAGCGTAACCAGCATAAGCAGCGAACAGCGTAACCAGCGTAACCAGCGCAAACAGCGTAACCAGCGCAAACAGCGTAACCAGCGTAATCAGCGTAACCTGCGTGTCCAGCGTAACCAACGTAACCAGCGTAACCAGCGTAATCAGCGTAAACCAGCGTATCCAGCGTAACCAGGGTAAACAGCGTAACCAGCGCAACCAGCGCAGCCAGCCACCGCCAGCATACCAGCCTACAATCGCTCGCCGACACGCTTTGCCACGTCGCTCGAAGTTTGTGCAGTGCAACTACGGACATCCCATTCACGAGTTGGTCTTCTTGTACCGTGCGATTGTGTTGCAGCCGCGCGCCTCCTTCGCCCGCGCAAGCGGCGCATCCCTCGCTGCTGCGTGTGTTCGATACATCTCCCCCGGCGCCAGCGTTTCATGCCTGGCTGGGCACCGCTAACGCGCCTCGGGTGACACCTGTGTGGAATGAACTCTTGATTTGACTCGGGAGCCTGTGTTTGAGTTTGCTCAAACTCAGTTGGGGATACTTTTGACTGACGCTCAAAAGCAACTAATCCGGAGTCTCCAATGCGTGTTGACGGTGATCAGCATTTTTGCCTGCGGGGGGGAACAGCCCTCCTGACGGCGCTTGCCCTCTACAGCATTAACACCAAGCGAGCAGCGCTGAACTCTCGGCCGTTGATCCTTTTCGTTAGCGCAACCATGCGTGCGGCGCACGGTTGTCCGGGCCATGGCCCCGCCCGGAACCGTGACCATGCTTGGTTTTGATGAAAACGAAAAGGAAGATCTACTACAGCAGCATTTGCAGGCAGCAGCAGAAACGAGAGGCAGACTTTTGCTGCAGCTTATGCATTCGTGGATGCCATGCTTGCGCAAATCCAACTCTGGGTGGATCTCCGGAGCCGGGGAATCTTCTCACCTTAGCACTGCTGCTGCTGACATGGCGAGGATTCCATCTGCAGACCACAGTGTATGATGTATACTGACAGAAGTGAAACAGGACGCTGTCAAGCAGCTTGTGCCACAACCTTATACGCTGACAAAGCTCGCGAGTGTGCGCAGCGGCTGGGGAAAAGATCTCAAAGGACGTCCTTTGTCCTTTGGCAGGACGACTTTATCAAGTTATACACGAACGAGCCAGCCAAGCGAACGAGAAGCAGTGAACTTGTTAGAGTTCGAGGCTGCGCTTCTGGCAGGTGACCCACATCAGAGCGTTGCGCGCCGACCGCAGCTGTCTCAGAGAGTGCCTCTTTGCAGACTTTGGGCGCGAGACTCGAGCAGCCGCTACAATGGAGCACCGTACGCATGCCACCAAAATTTTGTCAACGCAGAAACCCTCCGAACCGGCGAACCAGCAATCGCACACTTGCGGACCATCTTTGGGGAGGAACTCCATGATTAGTGTCACCGCAGCTGCGCAAAACACATGGATCATTCCAGTCCCAAGCCTCCCTAACGGTCTTCCTCTCTATTGTCGGGGCGCATGCCGAGGTGGCAGTTTGTTTAGGCGCTCGACGACAGAAAGACGACCCAGCTTGGCGAGGTCTCGCGCTGGAGAAATCGCTCGTTTACACAAGATTGACTCGAGCAAAAGAGCAAAACACCGAGCATATCTCTTTGTGGAGGATCTTCGCGACGAAGTGATGCTTACATCTAGAGGCGCTGATGCTAAAGCCGGGCAGGCTCTGGGCCTGCAGAGGTTCGCGCCGTCTGAGATGTCACTCGTGGTCCATCTCCGGACATCTCCTTTGGACACGCGTTGTCCGGACCTGTGAGAACATTATTCAGGCCAACTTTCAGTCCCGCCCCTGGTGGATGTACCAACCTGAGATCCCCTGGTGGTTTTGGTGTGGTCAGTGGCGACCGCTCCCGGTTTGAACGGCACGCTTCGGTGGCTGGCGAGCCAGTTCCGGACAAAATGAGCTGGCCACAGGACGAGGCTCCTCCGGAGCCCATGGCCGCTTCCTATTTCGAGGGATTGAAGTTGCCAGCTTAAGTCGGATGGAAAGTCGAAAGAACCCGACCGACGCGGGACCTGACCCAGCGATTTGGTCGGCCTTGCGCGTCGACAACTTGACCGTGCCATGGCATCTATGGTGTCAAGGATGCAACTATTCAAGTGCCTGCGATGGCTTACATGTCTGCGGAGACCTGGGCAGAGCATCTCTTGCCCAACGCTCTGTCCACTGTTCGCACGGCTGTCGCAGACCCGAATTACGTGGCCGAGGTGTTGATTGAAGATGCTTTTAAGCGCTACCGGCATATACTCGGAGGCAGCTGAACTGCAAAGTCGTGGCGCGGCCATGACTTGTGTGACGACAGTTCACAAATGGGACCCAGTGACTGTTGGAACGGCAGAGTTCTACATTCCACTGCGTCGCTCAGAGCGGCCGGCGTATACAATTCGTGCGACCCTCGATGCGAAGAAAGAGGAGCTTGCGCGCGCTTATTGTTGCACGGGCTTGAAGAAAGCGCATCCGTTTCAGCAGGTCATCCTCTGCAGGTGCCGCAGTCATGAACTCGCACGATGCATTTTGCTGAGCGCCAGGGTGTGCTTTGGATACCAGATCCGGACACGATTGGTATGCAGCACGGCGCCGGAAGAAGCTCGAGCAAAAGCAGAAATTGAAAACCAGTGGAACCAGTTTTGCGCCAGCATTTCTGCGGCAGAAGGTCGAACCCTACCTGATTTCGAAGCCCAGAACGTGCAAGACGCGTTTCGGACGGTGACGCCGCCAGAGCTGCAAGAAGCGTATCAGGCCATGGCGTCCACTGTGTAATGAATGGAAGCAAACCGGCAGGTGCGCGTGGGAACGTGTCATCATGTGACTCATGTCACGACGATGGAAGATGCGAATCTTCAATTTGCATGGCGGCGCTCGTTGCGCCAGCTGAACCAACGAGATGCCAAAGAACGCGCAACGATGTACAAACATTGATTTCCATTACAATTGGTTTTCTTTGGACGGTGTACAATCCAGAATTTACAATATTTTCTTGTGGAAACAGCCTTTTGAGGACGGAACGGGCCATGCCTGTCATCGACAAAAACATTTTCGAGCTCACGTCGCCTGTGGCCACTTTGACGAAAGTGGTGCTTGGAAATGCGCAAAGTTCCGAGACAACGTGTTCAAGATTTCTAGCCGTAGTGTGTGCGAGAAACGGCCGCTGGCTGAGCACAGAGGAGCGTGAAACTTTTGGTAGCAAAGGACCTTGTTGGATTTTTACATTTGCCGTTTTGAAAGATGAGTTGTGAAACAACCTTGTGCCTTGGTCTGGTCACAATGACAGTGTGTGTGTGTGTCAGGGTCACGCGTGTCACCACGTTTACTAGCAATCTCGTTTGTGTGACGTGAGTGTCATTGGTGCGCGGGAGTAAGCAGAGTCACAACCTTTGTCACGCTTCTTTTTTTGGTTGAGGCAGTCTCTGTTTCACGTTTCGCTGGCAAAACTTCTGTCGGGCACTTCCTCAGCACTGCACTAACGACCATCCTACGCAGCTCCGTTGTGGCGACGAAAATTCGGCGCGCGGCTCCGGACACGGCGCTACTGATTGTATGCCAGCAAAGCCACACACTCGATATCAATCACCTCTTCCACTCGGACCGGACGCGGGCCGAACACACACCCACGATATCAATAGTACAGTGTCCCCTGGCGTGCGCATACATCTGCGATGTCGATAATGCGAGGCATGTCCGGCATCGCCAACGTCTACTCTGAAAACATATCCATTGTAAACAACACTGCAAAGCGCACGTTTCTAGTTGAAAAAACTCCACCCCCAAGCTAAAGCTTAAGATTTAATCTAGCAGATTTGTTGCGATTGCTTGCGGCTGCCCAGAGCTGCCACAACGCACCGGCACCTTCGGTGCGGGCGGATTTTGTATCTACTTGCAGGGACTCAGGGATCTCCAGGAAATGCTTACGTTGACAAATGTGCCCCACCTTTCCAAAGGTAATATGTGAGATTCTTCAGCTCACTTGGCTCAGGTCAACACCATCAAAGCAGCAAACTTTGCTCACCTGAACGACTTATCTTTGCTTCACCTGGTGCCACTTTTGCGCTTCATGGTTCATGGATATTCATGGCGTGAGTTGTGCAATTGTTGTTTCACTACCAACGTGACAAACACGCAATGCTATGTTTCTCGACAATTTGATTGCAGTGGTCCGGTGGTCCAGTAGGACTTGTTCCGAGCTGCAGGTGCTTCGGAGGCATTATGTACCAATCAGCTGCCAAGAAACGCAGGTGGGGAACCATGGATAGAGTAAACGTTGGTGGTTTGCGTGAATGCTGGAGGAAAAGGTTCACATTGTTGGAGGTGTGTGTCACATGTGCGGTTGTATAAGTAGCATTTTGGATCAAGTCTGGCAACGTTGTCAATGTCTTTGGAATCAAAAGAGCTGAAGAGATTGGAACTGACAGGAATTCACTATATCCATTGCCTCGTTTTCACGCTGCTTCTGTGAGGATGTAGCCCAAACCTGAGGTCAATGGCCTTGATCGCCCCCCAAAACAATACGGTGCATGTGGGAAATCCAAACGATTCCTTTCGGCAATGAATTTACTCAACAAAGATCAAACGACAAAGTAAGGTGCACACGAACAAGCATTAGACACATATGAAGCAGCAATGTCAAGGATGCACGGGTGAAACCATGCGGGCGAAACATCCTCACACCACCATCACCAAGGTGCAGTGCAGCTTGAAGTTTTTCTTCATCATGGACTGTGAGGCGCAAGACGATTGTAGCAGAAGTGGTGAGCAGCGGTAGTACTAGTCGTAGCTCCTGGCCGTACTACTGGGAGCAAGGACGCTACTAGGGGCTCCTGGCCTTACTACTAGGAACAAGAAGCTACTAGTAGCAAAGGGCATCGCTACTAGTAGCTAGAAGCTGCTGGAGTCTTTGTGGATGAAATTCAATGAGCCCACAAGATAGTTTGCTCCCCGAGTCCACAAAGCATAGTATTTAGGAACCGTTTCGACCAAGAGAAGGGTTCTTTGCGTCCGTGCAACTAGTAGCCTCTTGTCGTTTACTGAACTAGCTATGTTTTGCCTGCCGGCCTATAGCATTCTTATTGAAGCCAGCACCAGGTCAACTTCTTGGTGCTTCTGTCCTTGTTGGTGTCTATTGCACAGGCTTGGAAGAACAATGATTCTGCAGTGTCCGATAAATTATATAGCTGTTGGATAGCCGTGACTTTTTGCGGCTTCTTTTTGCTCCAGGCAATCGGATCTTGCTTCTATGCCAGTGCGTCTGCCATGGATCTCAGGACATGAGTGGAGTCAGCAGTTTTATGCAATTTTGGCAATGGCAAGAGAATTCCAGCAAGAACATCCTTTCACCATCAGAAATGACATCTCGTTGAGGCAGCGCAAGAAACATTGCGGGCAAAGATGGAATTCCCAAAGTCAAAGGGGGCAACCAACTGAAGCTGTACCAGATTTCAAAGACCGCTTGAAAGAATTTGCATGTCAGACGTTGGATTTGGTTTCTTAGCAGCTCCACTGTGTGCATGTGTTCATCGCCAAGTCGCATCCAGCTTGCTTGCAGGAGCTTGGATGAGATGTCGAATGATTGAAACGCCGGTGTAGCATTGTTTTGTCTCACATGGCCAAGTACGTAGATGCTGCCACGAATCACTTTCAAAGATTGTTCCGGCAAGTGTTTCAAACCAGTTGAGCCATTCTTTGCACACAACATACAACAATATCCTGTGGCACAGCCCACGCAAACGGGCTAAACCTTGCTAAAACTGATCCTTGCTGGCGATAGACGACGGCAAAACCGCATAATTATATAGTATGTTATTTCAATAAACATTATCGATTTCATCGTCCATCAATTCGCCCGTATTCGGCCGCTAGGCATGGTGTTTAGGACACTTTGAGAGTGTTAGGTGGCCCCATCAAGATGCAAGGCAAAAGCGTGCGAAGTATTTAGAAATCAATGTGGTTATTTGGCTTCACTTGGTGCAATCGAAGGCAACGGTCGTCGCCACAGAGGAGTGGTGGCTTCAAACGGAGCTGCCCACAGGAGATAGTAGATAGATATCTCTGTAGAAAGTAGGGCCTCGAACCAGTCTCCAAGGCAGTTGATGATCATTGCAGATCATTCCACAGCCCGAGTTGAAGAGGATCATTGCAGATCGTTCCACAGCCCGAGTTGAAGAGGACAGCTTGATAGCGTCCTGCATCTGGTGTTGTGCCCCTATGCACAACTCCTGCCAGGATTTGAAATTCATGCCAAGTCACCGAACGATTGTTGAGGCCATTACAGACCGGCAAGGATTCCTGATTCCGTGGCCAGGTGATGGAGCAATCATGGCGATGAAACAAGTCTGGATATCTCTCTAGCTGGAGGCAAATCCACGAGCTGGTCGATCTCAGGGCATTCCGGGCATTCACAAAAGGAACCAAAGGTGAACAATATCTTGCAAGGTGGTGGCAAGGAACCTTTATCCTCAACACTGTCTCGCAGCCGTGCTTTTCAGGAGTGTTCCGTCAGCCTTTGACATGGCGTCAGAATCTTTTCAATCATTTGGCATCTCATCCATCTAGCGAATTCACCTGCATCATGTTGTGCAGATGGGCTATGCGAGTTGAACCAGTCTTGAAGCTGTGGGCAATATATTTATATTGATATTTCATGTACTAAATATTTCGAATTTTCATGTCTAATAATCCACAAGCATTTCATCGAACTAATACATAAATATAATTCCTATCTATTGAACAGAATCTTGCGGTTGAAGGTCAAAGCCATAGATGGATGGGATTAGTGTTTGGTTCAAGTTGGTCGTTGGTGTCTGACATTGTGGGAGGTAAGTTGCGTGAGTTGAGCGTCGAGGAAGGCAATTGATGTGGGTCGCTTGTGTGGATTGATTTGAGTCAATTGAATTGTGTGGGGTTTCTTGGTGTGAAGGGAGTTGGTGTGAGGTGCGTTGGTGTGGAATGAATCAGTTGTGTGAAGTGATTTGGATTGGGGCGAGCGGGTTGGAGGTGAAATAGATTTTTTTGAAACGTAATCGATGAATTGAATTTTGGGATTATACGATATATTTTTTTTATTTTGGGATTTAAATATAAGAAATTTAAGAATATAATATAACGAAAGGAATTTTAGATATATATATTGTGTGTCTTTTTAATCCAATTAATTTATTATTATGGATTTGTAATATTTTTAAAGATGTATTTGGTTCTTTGAATTATTGATTTGTTTTTTTAAATACAATAAAAAACAAAAAAATAATACGAAAAAATTATTCGAATTTAGGATTCTTAATAATAAGGGATATTTTTTTTTTGATTTTTTTTTTTCGAAAGGAACTAATTATAATAATTAACTAATATTTAAATAATAAATAATAGGATATTTTGCATTAAATGGATTTATGACGTATTTTTTTAAAATTAATATTTAGGGAATATAAACAAAAACATAATAAATAATATTTTTTATATTTATGGAGGAAGATATTAAATTTTGTTCGACATTGCAATTGATCGACAACGACACCAATTTGATTATTGCTTTCGCACCAAGCAAATTAAATGAATAATATTATTTAGAATTATGTTTATTAGGATTTCAAAATTGAAAATTATATATTTTCTTTAAATGATATTAAACATAATTATGTCGATTTTTAAAATTAATTATTTACGTCGACCTTCTTTATTGATTTTCGATATTACAATTCATGCAAAAAAATATTGATGATATTTTAAATGATAATACCATGGAAATTGGATTTATCGTTTCGTTTTTAAATTAACTAATAATTATATATAATTCCTTTATTTAAATATTTTCTATTAATCCCATAGAATTTGTTATTTATAATTTGAAAATTTAAAAGATTAAATATATTAATAATATAATTCTCAATCATCCCCAATCTTAGAAATATATAGAATTTGAAATTCTTTGATTTAGGGAGTCAATTGCCGGCGATTATATCCATCGCCCGCGATCATATCCATCGCCCGCGATCATATCCATCGCTTGCGTTGGATCGCATGCGAACATGGACACTTCATTGAACGTCGTTGGCCATCGAGATGCATCCTAGTTAAAATGTTTCGAAATGAGCATGGCAAGTGTCGTGCTGGTTGATGTTGTATTTATCAAGGGCAACGGGCGTCTGAACTCCATCCTGGTCGTAGACCATGGTGTAAGCCACAACATGTAGATCTCCTCGTAAAAGGATTGCTTCCGGACTAAGCGACTAGGCGGACGATTGTCATTGCACAGGAGGCGACAGCCGGAATTGAACAAGACTGCTTGGTAATGTTTAGCGGTCGGATTGGACCCTTTGTAAAGGATCCCTGCAATCATTTGGAATTCGTGCCAAATTATGGAGCTATGCCCCAGGCCATCAAACAAAGGCATCAAGACTTGGTTGTGGCATCAAACAAAGGCATCAAGACTTGGTTGTGGTCCCAAATCATTGCATGATCATATCGAATATTTAGAGTTGGATATCGTTCTAGCTGAATGCGTACATAGGGACTCTGGCCTCTCAGGGCGTGAAGAAATGGTTGCTGCCTGTGCCATAGGCAGATTGCCTGTTGGAGGGTCGTGTCGACCTCAGGCAGAGATCGAAGGACGATGGGTGATATCAATGAACCACTGTATTGGGTTGTGCTTTGGTATGTGCTTTTGTTGCCTTGGTTTTTGGCCCTGTCAATATGATGACTAATGATCTGAAAATCCATGTCCTATGATGACCCTAAAATTGAATAGTTGTACCTTTTTTTGGGCTCTGTGAATATGATAGCCCAAAGGCTTCAAGG